CACTCAAACATTCACAAAATGTTTTTTTTGTCCACGGGCGAGACAATGTGGGGGGGGGGGGGGGGGGGGTGAGCCGCAAAATGTCGAACTTAAAACTTACACTCACTATTTTCTTCGAAAACATATGTGAGTTCCACAAAATAAAAAGAAGAATAAAAATTAAAACGAATAATTATTTATAGGTTATTATGGTCGTCCATGGTCATTTAATCAACGAAAATCAATTTTTGAATAGTTTGTATTTAATATAAAAATAAATAAATAAAATAATTAATTAATATATTTAAATAGTTGTTTAAGATTTGGTTTAAATACATATGTATATGCACCAAAAGATGATGCTAAACATCGATCACGTTGGAGAGATTTATATACAAATGAAGAAGCAAATCAATTAACACAATTAATTATTTCAGCTAAACAAATTGGAATTCATTTTATATATGCATTATCACCTGGTCTTGATATAACATATTCATCGGATAACGACTTAACAGCACTTAAACTTAAATTTCATCAAGTCTTATATTTATTGATTTATTTAATAAATAAATAATATTTACTTACCATTTTATAGTTATTAACAATTGGATGTGAAAATTGGGCATTATTATTTGATGATATTGAAAATGATATGTCTCAACAAGATAAAGATATATATCCATCATTTGCTCATGCACATGTTGATTTAACTAATAAATTATATGATTATCTTAATAAACCAAATATATTTATATTTTGTCCAACAGGTTCTTTTTAAAAAATATATTAATATTTTTAATTAAATTAATTATTTATATTAGATTATTGTAGTCGAATGGCTAAACCATCTATTGAAAAATCTTCTTATTTACAAACAATTGGTGATGGTTTACATACTGATATTGATATTTTTTGGACAGGTAATTATTCTTTAGTCAATTATACTTTTTCTTTTTGTGTACTTACAAAGTGAGTACTACACTCTAGAATCGATCAGCGTGTCCAGTCGTTTACACGACAGCTTTCTAAAAGAGAGTCCGATGGCAAAGAAATTTTCTACACAATTTCATCTGATCCATGTCTCGACAGAGTTCGGAGATGAGAATGATTTGTTGAGCCATTGCTGATTTATCGCAAAAAATTCATTTTTCTGTATGTGATTATTGACCTATCTCGATTTTAAAATCCGAAGTTTTCACATTTATTTAGTTTAATATTTAACTAAAATAATATTTTATTGATAAGAGGAATTATCTACATTCTCTTATTTAGAAATTTGATATTTTTTCGAATAAGGATGTGAGTGTCAGTAATCCTTTCATTAGCTATAAGTTTTCTCTATATGCATATCCACAGTCTGATTGAATGTGTTTTCGTAAAATATTTCGAGTAAAGAATCAAAAAGAAAAAAGGAAAAGTTTTTTAGGTCCAAAAGTAGTATCTCGACGTATAACAATGTCTCATTTATTATCGATAAATAATATATTAAAACGTCGTGTTATTATTTGGGATAATTTAAATGCAAATGATTATGATCAACGTCGTTTATGTATGGGACCATATTCAGGTCGTTCATTAAATATTTCAAAAGAAGTATGTGGAATATTATTAAATCCGAATTGTGAATTTGAATTAAATTTTGTTCCATTACATACTCTTGGTCAATGGTTTACATTAATAAATATAAATGAAAAAGAATATCAATATGATGATGATGATAATAATCGAGATTTTCTTCAGACATCTTCTACATATGAAGTTGATAAAGCACTTCATAAATCATTAATTGATTGGTTACCAGAATTTAATAAAATAAAATCAGCCAATGATTCACAACAAATTTTAAAAGTAATTTTAAAATTAAATTCTTTTATTATTTAATTAATACTTAGGGTGTACCAAAAGTTCTGATCACGACGTTACATAGCCATATAGTAAGCTTAAAAAAAACTTTCTTTCTATATAGTGTAATNCGTTTCATGGTGAGAGAAAATCATGTTGTTTTCAGATAGTGGATGCGTGAGGCTCGGCGACCATGTATTTATAATTCAAAATTCGTTTACTTTTGTGTTCTACTATGAAAAGTTAGAGAAATGCGTTCCGTTCTTCCTTTTTTGGATGTTAGGAGTTGGTTGTTACTTAAGATATGCTACAAAACTGTGTCCTTCCTTATTCGTCAGTATTGTGGAAATTTGGGATAGACTCTCAATCAATGAAATTCAGAGTAAACTGTTATTGAAAGCCATAATTTATTGTTGGATGTCTATGTCTTAGCGGCATCTTCTGAGAATGTTGTGGTTGCTGTTGGTTTTCAAATGAAAATAAAATAGATCATGTTGCAACGCTGCTGATTATCAGTTATGAATATCGAGTCAAACAAAGATTGTTAGAACAATGTATTTCCCCGGCTATGTTGTTTTATGAGAAGATTGGAATGCCGTTCGTTAGAATTAGTTTGGTATTTTAGGTATATAAGTAGCTCTCATCGTTTAGACTCACTTAACCCGGTACTGAATGGTCAACTCTTTCTCTCTGGATAATATGCTGCTTTAGAAGCTCAATCGATGCCAATATCAAATATATCTATGAGGGTGGGTATGAATGTTCATGTGGATAGACGTGTCGATGTCCATGTGACTCTTCTCGTTACGCATTCAATAAATCACAAGTCTACCAGCATACCCACACCCACATCCATATCCTACAGCTACACCTAAACCCCTTCGCATGTGAGAAACCAATGTGAAGACGTATAAGACTTCCTAGCTCAGTGTATGATCCTCTTTTCGGTTGAAATAGTTATATGAAAAATGTTTGTTTTTTAGATTAATAAAACATATTAAAAAGTCAGTGATCTTAATGTATCATCAAGAATCTGTATCACTATCATCGTCAGCAATAAATGTAACTAGAAAATATCCGATAATCACTCTCCGAATATAAACATTATTAAAGGAAAAAATAGATTTTCAAATGTTTTTTAATAAATCATCACGCAAAAGAAAAAAATGTGTCAGTTCGTTTAAGTGAAGAGCAAATTTTATTCCCATTGTAACTTCGTATGTTTTAATTCATTTTTAATTCTATTTTGAAAAAGTTGAACACCATTTTCCATAGAAGGTGATAAATATCCTGGTTTATATATTCCAGCATCAAGATTAATTTGTACTTGTTCACAAATCATTTTATCTTCATTAGTTATCTGCAATGTTCTATTAATAGCTTCTTTTACTTCTGCTATTCTATCTTTCATTTGAGATTCATCAGTAGTTGAACGTACAAAAAAATCATATGATAACATTGTTCGATCTTTACCAATTGGAAGAATATGTTCAATATTATAACCTTTTTCATATAAATTAATAGCTAAATTAGGATAAATATAAGCCCAGAGATATTTTTCTTGATCACTTTCATGATTACGTGCAGGAGCATAATGAATTGAATATGCATTATTTTTATTAGTAACTAAATATTGTTTTGATTGAATAAGTTTACTAAGTACTGGATGTACAGTTGAAATATGATATCCTTCTTGATAATTTTCTACATAAGTTTTCCAATTACAATTAATAAAATGATTTTGACTGTCAAAATGACGATATTGATTAAGAGGAAATGTCATCATATCATTTAATAAATCACTAAAAATTGTATTCATAGATAATTTTTCTTTTGCATCAATGAAATTAACAAAAACAAATTGGTCAGCAAATATTTCGATATCAATTTTCTTCAAATTTAAGCATTTTTTCTCTTCGGATTTAAATTTATAATTAAAATTTGGTGTACCTTTCAATGTTCCATCACGAGAATCATATAACCATGCATGATATTGACATTTAAGTAAAGATTGATTTCCATAAAGAGCAACACCATAATTATTTGAATTTATTGGTACAATTGGACCAGCTCGATGAGTACAAACATTATGAAAAGCAACTAATTCATTTGTTAAAGGACTACGATATATAAATATAGGATATCCAGCAACCGTTATTGATAAAAAATCACCTAATTTTTGTAATTTATCAAGTTGACCAACATAAATCCAATTTTTTGAAAAAATATTTTCACGTTCTAATTGATAAACAGAAGGATCATTGTAAAGATATGGAGGTAATGGTCGGAATAATTCTTTAGCTGAATCAATATTTGAATTAATACTAGTAGTTGTTAATGTTCGTATGAAAGACTTTTCTATATGACTAATAAATATTGGAGTTCGTTTTATTACGGTTGCAAACGAAGTAGCAAATAAACGATTCATGACAAAGATTAATTTTCAAACACAAAGAACTCCAGCTATTTAACTTGTTATTTAAACACAAAATTTAGTAAAGATAACTAACGTGCGTCATCGAAAAGAAAAACTACATATAAATATTTATGATAAGAGTGTTCTGATTTTTATCTTTTTCTTTTTTTTTTTACTGCATATATGTATATCTATATGTAGGTCAATACTATCATGTTTAGTATTATATTTCGTCAATCATTTTATTCCGAAATATTCTTCAAAATAAATAAACCTCTCAGTATTTTCTCTATATATCTGTTAATTTTAATAATTATCGACTAAGTATTGTTTAGAAGTCTCAATGTTCAATTCACTACAAAAATCATAGACAAATGTGTGTCATAAAGGTAAAAACAAAATAGCTGTTATACAAATACTGCGAACGTGTACTTTTAACAACTTTTATACATAATATTGAATTTTATTGTATTAATTTCTTCTCACATTGACATATAAATAAGTTTGAATTAGTTATTTTGAAGGGCTTGAAAAGCTCTGTCGTATAGGTAGGTTGACTAATTTTTACAAGAAATCTCTATCATACAAAGTAAGCATTACTTTTTTAGAATTTTACATTAGAAAAATTTATATAGTTTAGCTATAAATTCTTTTTTCGAAGTAAAATTTATTTTTATTTAAAAGCTACAATATCATACTAAAGAAATCTACTTAATTCCGAACGAATGTTTCTTTCGTTCGATTAGTTTCAAGCAAAAAAGAGCCGATATGGTAGATTTATTCCTGTTTTCTAAACATTAAATTCTCTATACATATTTTATGTTGATACGTTCTTTCCTGAGTATGATTAAGAAGAGCATATTTGATTGTATCTGAGATGTTGATTGGATGAGTTGAAACAGTTCTTCATTAGTGACAAGTAAGTGCAAATCGGTTCGTAAATTTGTGCCTAAAAGTCGTTGATGACACATGTTTGCAATATTTATTTCTATAAGTTTTTTACTTTTATTTCTATGACACATATTCATCTATAGTTTTCGAGAGTACTCAAAGTTGTATCTTTTAAGATGAAACTTAGTCTGTGATTATCAAAATTGACAGAAATATTGAGAAAGTTCTGTGAGGATCATTTAATCTGACGCACTCGTTATATAAAAAGATATCGTTATTTCTTTGACTGAAGTGCTTTCAAAATAAAAGTTCAAATATGAATAAATGGAAGAAAATTCACAAAATGATTTATTTTCTTATTCAATCAGCCGGAACGATATGTTTAGATCGAATACAAATGAAGAAATATAAATCGCATATCATAACACTATAAATTAAATAAATAAGCTATCGAAGTATAAATAAGTTTAATGTTGTTTTTTATGATTAATTTATTTAGAAATATTAAATGGAAAGTATAAATATAGAAATAAAATACAATAAGATGTTAAGTAAATGGCCGAGTACCGATAAATACAGGTTGATAAAAACATTCATCAATTCGAGCAACATTTTCAAATCCAGCATTTTGCATTAATTCGATTAATTTTTCAGATCCAATTGCATAATAACGTGAACACATTGCATGTGTAACAATTTCTTTAGAATAAAGATCTTCTTCAATAATATATAGAGTAAAATCATAATATTGAATATTTTGTTCATCGAAATCCCATACTTGTAAAGCAACATATCTTTTATTATTTTCAATTTTTGCTTTTCCATAAGGTTTAACAATGTTTTTACCACCACGTTGTTCTCGATCATAATCTCGAATTGTAATCAAACAACCACCACCTGGTCGTAGACAAGAATACATTTGTTTAAGAGCAGATAAAATATCTTCATCGGTAAGAAGATGAGGAATTGAATTATCACATGAAATAACTATATCAAAGTTTCCACCATGATGTGTAAAAGCTGTTCTCATATCACAAACAGAAAATGAAATATTTGTTTGTCCACGTTGTTGAGCTTCGTGTTTTGCTCGTTCAACTTCATTGACAGAAAGATCAGAAGCTGTAACTTGATAACCATTTTGAGATAAACCAATAGTTTGTGTTCCTATTCCACAAGATACATCTAATATCGTTTTATGTTGAGGCCAATTTGATTCGATAAGACTTTTCAATTGAGAACCTTGTCGTTCAACAGATGCATTCCAATCTTCAAAAATAACATGATAGAATGGACACAATTGATCATAAAAATTTGACATATGATAAATTATTTCTAAATTCAAACATAAATTATTTGAATACTTTTAAAGTTACTTCGATCATTTGTTCATAATAGAAACCTATTACTTCATATTTAGTACTATACTTTTGAACAATATCTTTGTCGACTAGAGATTTTTTACAGTTGAAAGAAATTTTAAAAATTTTTATAATTAATTGACGTTACTCAAAAGATGAATTCTGGTAGTGAGTGTAGTTAGCTACAGTTATCTATATTGAAATAATATGGTTTGCTAAAAGTAGTTTCTCACCATAAGACGAAGTATAAAAAGTATAATGCGTAGAGATTCATAAAAAAAACAATGACAAGCATGTCCTCTTATTAATTAGATCACTGATACTCATAATAGGTGGGAGCTATAATTTTTTCGTATGACGAACAGATAAAAACCGAAGGAGAAACGATAAAAGAGAAGCCAATGAATAGTTACAAGCTAGATGTCAGATGCAAATATGAATGATACTTCTTCAGAATATTGAAAATGAAACGATTAATAATAGATGCGTCCACATTCTTATAGAAGAAACTAAGCTCTATAGAGTCATGTGTGAAATCTAAAATGATAATACTATTGAAAGATATCTTTCGGAATTCAAATATACGTTTCCAAAAGCCCAGAAATGTAAACATTTTCTTCTGTCTAACTTTACAGACATTTTTCTATCAGGATGAACATTGTTATTTCAAAATATTTCTTACTTTTCATCATTGAATATTCAATCGAAAACTGTTGTTTCTTTTCCTGGATATCAGAGATGCAAACTGTGCCGATATGGATTTTAGACCGCTCTTTCTCTCTACCTATAAGCTGTCCAGTCGTCGATGAGTCAATCCATGCCAATAAACAGCAAATATTCGATTGATATAGTATCTTTCATACATAAATTTCATCTCTTTTAATTAGATAAGTGACTGAAATTTTTAAAAAAGTCTTCAAAAGGAGCGTAGTGTTCATAAAGAGAAATTTTATTTGGCTTATCAACTGCTGGTCTACCAATCATCATATGGCAGAAGATCGGTAACTTTTAGATCAGTCGATTCGCATAAGTTCGATCTCTGTTGAAAACTCATTTAACTGTTATGTTTTGACCTAACTTTATTTCTTTTTTTTTCTTGAGAAAATCCATTGATCAAAATGCACATTGAAAAATATAAAATATGCGTCTTTTATATATGTATGCAGATGGTTAGAAATCTGAGAAGACAAGAAAAAAAAAGAGGGCAAAGATACAAGTCTGTAACAATTATTCAAAATTAGACATTCTCTTTAATCACAATGTAACTAATTCATTCCAGTTCGTGATGTTCTGTATATGGTCGAATTTTCATTCAAATTTAGACAATATTGTTCAAATTCAGATGCAATTTTCGAAATTCGAATTGTAAAAATGGTAAACAATCACAAAAAATCTTTATATATATTAAGAAAAAACAAGACAGCCGAGCTTCTTTGTATAAAAAATCTGTGATTTAAGTTTTAACCAATGAATTGTTTTTTCTCTCTGGTTGATGTTTTAAATCAAGATTAATAATTCTAAATAAGAATGATCACCGTAAATGAAAAGATGATTGTTTGAAACAAAAATGATATAATCCACAAATACTGATAAGTAATCAGATGGATTACCTCTTAGTCCCATAACAGTAATGATGCTTCTCTTTTTTTTTTTTTTTTATTTAAAGATAATATTATCTAATCACTCTTTGACTTGAAATAGTAAATTCACATAAAAAAAAAAAACAGTTTTTGTTAGTTATTGGTTATTTTTCTTCAATAAAATAATTATTTATTAATTCATTTGTTTATTTTGTATACAAAAAATTAAATCATAGATCTTCATCCTCATCGTCTTCTTCTTGTTGCCAAATATTATCAGGAGAATAAGGCGATTGAGGTTGATCTTCATCCTCAGATGAATATTGACGAGTATCAAAATTTTCTCGATTAGCTTTTTGTGTTAAATTATAACGATCAATTAATAAATCAGTATCAATAATAGTTCTTTTCGTCTTTTTCTGCCGTTTTTTATCATTTGATTTTTGTTCGACATCATTTGAATCCATATCTTGATCATCTATTGTATAAATTGAAGGATTATTCGTTGTTGTTAATGGCCAAAGTTCAGGTTCATTTGATTTTTTTCTAACTGAAGAAGATATGTCTGTTTCTTTGGAATTTTTCTAAAAACTAGATTTATATTAGTGAAAAGTATATTTTATCAATAAGAAATTTACTGATAACTCATCATCTTAAACTTTTCATAACTAAAAGACCAATAGAATTAATATACGAATGTAAACAACCTTAGTATATCGCATATCTAGTCTATCAAACACTTTTTCTACAAGTATCATATTGCAAAACACTACGTTCTCAACTAGTATGAATGCTATTTAAAAAAATGTATTCGAAAGTATAATTAGTAATCTTTTGATTTCTATGTCAAACTTAAATAAATATTTCCGATATAACTAGTTATAATAGGAAGAATCCCTTGATATTTCAAATACTTTGCGGTATAAGATGCTACCTAGTGTCAGATCTAGTAGCTTGATATTATTTCTAGAACTAATACCAGCTGTAGCTCTGAGCAGAAGACTAATTTGATGTATAGTTCTAGCGTATGATTACTTGAACTTCCGATACACATCAATCAATAATATACTAGCCACTAGAGCAGTGTGTATATCACAACGTAGTTATCATACTATCGAACGATTGATCCAAGAGAAACAGTCGTTCGTACACTTGTTCAGGATGATTTTATGACTGGTGTTAGTGATCATATTAGTCATTAGTAGATAAGTATACCTGATGATCATCAATATCCGAATCTGATTCATAATCAGTATCTTGTTGATCAATAGATGTATTATTTAATAAATATTGATTCGATTGTTGAAATTTGTCTTGTTCATATTTATCATCTTCACACATAAATTGTAATTTAAGTCTTTCAGTATGTAATGATTTAATCGATGATATTATTGATTGTTTACTATTGGATAATAAATTTGATTGTTGATTTATTAATAGAAATTCTTTATAAATTGGTTTTTTACGTAGAATATTTCCAATCGTAATACTTTTATCATTTTTTCCATCAGGACATAATCTTTTAAAATAAATAATAAAAATAAAAAAAATTTTCTTATCATAATAAAATTACCTTAATTGAAATGTCCATCGTTTATTATAATTGTGATTATCTAATGGTTTTATTTGTTTAATTATCTGAATACATTGAGTAAATGTTTGATCAAGTTGATTAATTAATTGTTTTGTGTTATCATAAATAGCACGTAAACATGGATCATGAATAGTATGTAATTCAATTAAATATCTTCGAAGAATAATTGGAATTTGAATATTTCGAATTATATTAATTGAAATCATATCAGATAATTGTTGAGAAAATAAATCTCTTAATGATGCAACACATAATGTTATATATGATGATATATCTTTATCAATACATTGATAAACAAGTGAATGATACATTTGACGAGGAGTAAATAAATCTAATATAAAAATTAACTTTTTTTTTGTTTTTGAATTTAAAAGAAATTTGAACAAACTTGAAGGATAAATATTTTCTTGATAAATAATTTGATTAATAACAATATCAATAAATTGTAGACATCGTTCAAATACTTCAGGACGAATTTGTTTTTCAAGTAAACGTGGTTCACCGTGTCGCCTTCGTCGATCACGACGATTATGTACATCGATTTCCATCGGAAATAAAAATATAATTTTTGTTTTTTTTTTCGAATATATTTAAATAGATATACTTCGTTTTTTATTTTATTTTTCATCAAAAATTTAAAAAAACAATTAAAGAAGAAAAAAAAATGTAAATCAATCATTCAGTTGGATTTGAAGAATCTTGAGGATTATTATCACCTGTTTGTTGTCGATCTAATTAAATTGATATTTATAATTTTCAAAAGAAATAAATATTTATTTCTTTACTTTTAGTCATATCTTGATGAACAGTAGCTAATATATTCGTAATCGATAAACATTCTCGTTCAATTATTTTTGAATAATTTTCAACATCACCTAATTCCTATTTTCAAAAAAAATAAAAAAATATTTTCTATTTTAATTAATTGATCGAAAAATAACAACAAACTTTAAGGGCATCAGTAAATTGCCCGATAAGTGTTATCCATGCTTGAGATTGTTTTAAAAGTAGATTTGATTGTGTAGTCAATTGTTTACATGCATGATCAATACGCTTTTGATTTTTATAACATTCAGAAACACTTTAAAAAGAAACAACAAATTTTAGTAGAAATTAAATTTATTCTGTCAAACTTTACTCATTATTAAGTCCATCTAGTATATGACGAGTTAATTGTTCGCCTGACGTAAGTAATTCTTTCTTTTTCTTTTCTGAACAAAAAAAAAAATATCGAAAAAACAAAATAATTTATGATATAAAAATAACCTTGTTTTTGTTTCAAAACTGACACATATTCTGTATGTTGACGATAAATATTCGAGAGCATTTTTGACAAAAAAAATAATTTCAAATGATTAAACTACATTTTCTCTGATGAATTCGTTCACTTCTTAATATTTTGTGATTCAACGATGTGAACATGCCAATAGAATCATTTTCCTTTCCTCCACATATATGAACGATACATAAAGTGTCGTCCTCTTTTTCTTTCTTTCCTCGACATTTATATGAAGCGATCGTCCAATAATTTTTTTTCTTCCCTTCTCATGTTTGTACACCTGAATCAGAGGAAGAAAAAAACGATAATTTCTAAATCGATTCTCTTTTCTTTCCTTCCCAACCGTAGCTGGTATTTGATGAAATGAGAGAAACGTGGAAAAGTATACGATAGTTTGACATAACAACACAGATCGATGCGATTTATGTGAATAATTGCACATTTTTATGTTACTGATACAATTCCGAATGGATAAGTGTCGATCACTTCTGTCTACATCACTGATAATTTTTACTGAAAATCATAATCAGCCGAATTGGAACAAATATTAGCGAAAAAAATAAAGACTCCGCATATAGATGGATCCTTATCGTAAGGATCCGAGCATCGAATCTAGACAAAAAGGTGTTCATTGAATAGAGCTCGTCTAGATCTATCTGTAAAGTCGCATCAGAATGTTGGAAAGATGTTGTGGGCGAATCGTGACGGGTTTTTGCTGGAAAACCTATGGATTCTGTCTAGTTTTGCTCGGTAGATGGGTCCCTGAGCATCAAATCGAGCTCAAAAGGTGACCATTGGATAGAGCTCAACAAGATCTATTTGGAAAGTTCCATGGGAATATTGGAAAGTTGTTGTCGGCGAATCGCGATAGGTTCTACAAACATTTGCCTTAATTTAGCCCTTTTTTCTGTAGTTTTTCAGGAGTTTTGGGATTATACGGATGGTTTGGTGGACAGTGGATGACAGGAATGTATAGAGCTCACCGAGATGCACCTGGGAAGGAATGTGGCTCATTTGGAAAGTTTGTTGAGGCGAATCGATTCAGGAAATACACGAATCCAAATCCAAGATATCCTACGTAATATTTTAATATAGTATTACCATAAAAGTTTTGTACGAACATGTTTTATAGAAAGAGGAATGTTGGAGAAACGAACAGTTATTTTTCTTGATAACATCATTCTCTCTGACACTTCTGAAGAACGACTGGCCAATGGAAATAGATATCGATATGTAGAGCAAAATTTATCATAGAACCAAAATTCTTGGACGCTTGCTTCTGTAACATAAAGGGATTACAACAGCAAAAAATTACTTTTTCTTTTCGCGTCGTATCTCAAACACGACATGTCAGATTTTTTTCCTGAAATAAAAAATCCAACTGAACTAGAGCTTTCTTAAAACTGCATATCTATAGTAGACTATAGCTATTTTTAAAGTCTTCCAAAAGTCATTGATGAAATAGTTCTTGAAACATTAAAAGTAGTCACCCTAAACAATATCTGATACTTGCAAAAAAAGGAAGGTTGACAAAAACGTGAAATAATCGAAAGATGTTGATGTTTCTATAGAGCAAACGTTTCAACTTTTATCTACCAAAAAAATATTCAGTAAATGAAGGACATTTCGAGCCATCTGTAGAACAGAAACTCTTGAGTCAAGGAAAGAAGGGAAACGCTCTGATATCATTTTTGGTCAGAATATGAAGTCTTGCGAAGATATCCTTAATAAATAAACTGTTACGATGACCACTGGAAGATACTAATCGACTAGTCGATGCACTACGATTTACTAGTTGCTTTCTCATTAAATACCAGATTAAAGCTACAAAAAAAGTTCTGTTAAATTATTAGAAAAAAATGTTTAATAAGTTTACCTGGATTTTCATCTTTACTAAGTGTTACTGGAAGACTAGCATGAGATGTTTCCGCTAATTCATAATTTTTAAGTTTAACATAAAATTTAATATGATTCCATGAAGCAGATTTTCCATTTGGTTTATGATGAAGACCATGAGACCAAATACGTTCAAGTAAATCACAAAAACCAGCTATTAAAACATTTTTTTCTAAATTAACCATTGATGATGAATCAGCATTTTTTATTGGTGATGAACCTTCAACAATATCTTCCATTTCTTCAATCACCATTCGTTTTGTCTTAACAAATAAAATCCAAATCATTATTTTAAATGATTTTTTTTTGTATTTACCTTAGTCGTACACTCTTTAAGTAATTGTTGGAAAACAACTTCATTTTCAACAAGAACAACATGTTGTTGATGTTCACCAGTAGTAACTGTTTGTTGTTTTTTAAATCTTGTAATATGTCGTGCTAGATGTTTTGATTGAAATGATCGAGTTAAACGAGAATTTCTTTTTTGGAGTTTCACTAGATAAAGGTGAAGATATATTAATTATCGATGATGATGATGATTCAAGTAAAGTTCCGTTAAGATTCTCAAAGAGATAACAATTATTAGATGTTGAAATAGAATTATCAAGTGAACGAACTAAAGGTGCATTCATCACAATTAATGAAGAAGGATAAGACGGAGTAAAACGGCGACGAGTTTCTTTATCGATTAAATCAATAGATAAACATGCTTGATAAGTTAAATCATCACTATTTCGATATAAACGAATACGATCAGAAAAAAAAACTAAAAAGAAATTTAAAAAAAATTATATTAAAATCTAACTTGTAATTGTTTAAGTGTCAAAACCAAAAAAATGATTATCTTCATTAAATCTTGAAGCAATTTTACTATCAACAAATGAAACAAATGATTGTGTTTTCATAAATGCAAGTAAAAAAGGAACATGTGGTTTTAGTTGATTAACAATAAACAATGTACGTTCAAAATTTTTCGTTGAGCATTGTTGTGCTAACCATTGATCAAGATTAGAATATTTGCCCGATAGTGGATAACATATAAATGCATCCATTTGACTCAATTGTTGAGCAAAACGATTTACAAATGATGCACGTAAACAATTATTTGCACAGATGTGACGAAATTCGGATTCATTAAATATAGATAATGGCATAAAAATAAATGAATAAATTTTATTTTATTTTACAAAAAAAAAGAATAAAATATTTAAAATAACCTATTTTCATCTTCATTATTATTAATAATAATTCCAGTACGTTTATCAATAGCTACAAGTCTTGATAATGCTTGACTTTGTTCATCATGTGTTTCTATTGTTCTATGTTGATCATCAACATGTGTCCAATCCTCATTACTTTGAATTCTTCGTTTATTTTTTGAAATAATTTATTGATAATTCACTAGTAAGATAATCATCAAATCGAGATAATATTTCATTTAATTCTTTTATAAAACAAAGAATGATCAGGAAAATGTGGCATATCATCAGGTAATTGTATATGTCCTGTATCAATATGAACAACACATTGTTGAACTTCAATTATTGCATCATCACTTGTATCACTATAACCATCAATATCATCATCATTATTATTATTATTATTACTATTATTATCGAAATTTTCATTAGATTTATTTATACGAAGACCCATTATAGTGGGTACAGAAACATCAAGACAAACAAGTGTAGTAGTAAATACAATTGGAACATAAATAAGTGTCCATTGAAATGGAAATAATAATGATGTTAAAGATTTCGCAACAAAAAATTAAACGACTATAATATAAATTTCAAAGATTTGTATATATGAGAAGAAAAAAAAGAGTTTTATTAAGATGTTTACCTGAAGATTTAAGAATAATTTGATGTTCTAATAATGCACATGTAACAAGATCAACAACACCTTCAACATGAAATAAAGAAAAAAATCTAATAGATTAAAATCTAATAAAGGTAAATCATCATTAACACTTGGTTGGCAAACAGTTAATTGTCTTTCACCAACATTGAATTTTAAAACAGAATGTGATATTGATGGTGATGGTGATCGAATATATTATTCATGTAATATATTATATAAATGTACTTCAAATGGTAAACCTAATAAATCATGTTCAATTGTCACACGATAAAGAAGCTCTAAAATACGTTTAAATGTTGAATAATGTGCTTGGGGACCAATTAAACAAATAGCTTTGCTTGAATAAAGTAATGATGATGAACGACGTTGTTGTCGACATGTTCGATTATAATTTTCAATTAAACAATTTAATCAATTGATTGTGGTTGAAGAAGACGAAGATGATGTTGATAATGATTCAGTTAAACTTTCATCATCATTATTTATTTGTTCAGAAAATGTTAATGCAACAGCATAATAACGTGTACCATCAAGACGTGCTATCAAAAATGGATGTGTTGTTGATGGATCAGATGAATTTTGTCGAATCGAAACACCATCAGGCATTGATAATCGACTAATAGTATCTTCATCAAATGTATTATTTGGAACTTCAGGTGGATAATGATAAAGTACGCGACATCGATATGAACATTGAAATGGATTTAAAACTTGTTCACTTGATAAATCTGTTGATATTGGTTCAACATCATTATATTTATCTAAACGACAAACAACAAAACAATCAACAAGATGAATTAATTGTTGTTGTTCATTTAATAAAAATGATTTATCTGGTGATGATATTGATCACCCTCAAGCGAAACATGCATCAACCCTCTTTAATGAAAATCTCCTTACAACGAAAGCTTTTGAATGATTTCCATGGTGTTCACAATAGAGATGTTTTATTGTAATTCGATTTTCATTTCAATGTCAATTTAGTGTCATTCGACTTTGCTTGACAAGGATCTTTCATCAATTCCACAGATTTAAAGCTTTATGTTTTAGTAACAGATTATCTGATATATTTTTCTACTATTAAAGAGATCTTATTTGACTAGATTTGTATTGTAACAGTGGAAATTGAACAAATGAAAGAAGCGCACGCGCATTTACGAAAAAAAATCACAATACAAGTATGAGTTACTCTGTATCCAAGAGGTTTAAAAATTTACATAGATAGATCCAAAGAGCACGATCTTAAACGGCCGTATGCTTCGGAATACATAAAAAAGAACGGTAGTCATGTACGATGTCATATGTTCAAATATGAATACCATGTACAATGAACACAAACAACTGTCGTGTATAGCTACAATACACAATAGTATATGATCTTTCATGTACTTTATTAAAGAACTTTGATAACAAAATCATCGAAACTAGAAGTCAAAAAGCCAATCATTGTTCAGTTCAATAGTTCGATGCTTTTTATTGACAAAAGTCTTTTTTGATAATTGGCGTTATTATCAAAAAATGTCAATATACTTCTCGCTGTCTCTTCGGGTTTATCAATAGCCAAAAAATGGCCGCAATCATCGAAAATAACACATTTCGAATTTGGTAGCAAATTGTGAAAAAACTCTGCACCACTAACAGCATAGACCTAAGTGGAGAAAAGATTTATTTTTAAAATGTTGAATTTCATCAGTCTATACTTTATCTTGGCGACCCCATAGTATCAATGCTGGAAAATTTACTAGTCGCAAGTGTTGATAATGATCTTCGATTCGTGAACTATCGTATTCAAGAAGTGAAGTTAATACTAAAAAACGAATTATTTAAGTTTGAACAATTTCTTTTGTTTGATACTTTTCTTGTGTTCCTCCAACAAACGCAATCTCAAGTGCAGGAATCCATTAACAAATGGTCCAGGCAGCTTAGGTCGTTTTACTGTCTGTGTATGGATCATTTGACGTAGTTCTTCGGATGTCTCTGGTAAAAGAGCATTGTACACACCGGTACGTAGTTGTCGGATCAGATCGGTTTCAGATGCCTCATTTGCTATTTTAGCAAGCGAATATACAAAAAACAGTAATGGTACATGCTCATAGAATGTTGTGAAGCTTACCTATAGGGGCTAATAAGCAAATCATGCTTACATATTCGGGATATTTTATGGCAAACATGCAAACGACCGCGCCACCCATCGATGCACCAATAATGCACATCGGTTCGGTCAGATCCATTGCGTCAAAGAACTAATAATAAGATGATGTTATCAAAAACAGAATAAAACTTTGAAAAAAGAATTAATCATGAGTTGTACCAATTTAAGTTTCTCTACAAACTTATCAATCGTATACATATCTTCTTGGAAGCCAATCGTTTCTCCATGTCCAGGTAGATCAACAGTGATACAATGATAATCACCTGAAATATTCTGCACATACAAAAAAATAAGTCATTGCGATGATGATAGAATTCAGTGTTGACTAACTTTGATAATCGGTATCCATGTTTCTTTATTAGAAGAAAGTCCATGAACAAATACAATACTCGGTTTTTCTGGATTTCTTGAACCTTTCTCACTATAACTAAATGAAGCAGCAACACCACTATTGTCAATGGGCAATGAATGTTTAGTAAGACCAGCTCGATATGCAGTGAATCTAAAGAATCTGATCTATTCAAGAGGCTGTACATAATATTTTTCACTCACTTGTAATACAATTGAACAAGCCCCGCCTGCCTACAACTCGTCGAAATGTTCAAAATATTAATATTTTCTTCCAAAGCAAGAAAAATACACTTACATTGTAAGAACTGAATTTAAATCTGCTTGAGAACACGTGTAAAACGTATGCAATTCAGCCAAAGCATAATAACCGGAGAGTGAAGAAAAGAATGTTTTTTTTTCAGTAAGCATACAGAACTGTTTTTCATACGGTATTTTTAATCCACACAGAATAATATTGACCTTTCTTTCTTTCGAAGCAGTGATGACGCAAGGAAGTAAAAGAAAAATGGGACTGTTTGAGAAGTCAAGAGTAAGATATAGTACAGATTTCTCCTAACAGCAAAACTGGAGAATGCTCTAGTGTAAGTATTTAAGTTCGGAGGAATATCTAACCTATCATATTCCGCCTGTTTGTAAAAATGGCATTATCCTTAATGCAAAAATATTCTTTAATTTTCAGTGAAATTAACAATAGCATATTTTGATGAACAAACGGTGATGATAGAATTTATTTAAAATTTTGGATTTTGATTTGATTATAACTATAGCGACAAACTGGATTGGAGTACCTTACTGCCACACTCGGTACAGATGTTTATTCACTACTTCACATATCCAGAGTGTAACAACTTCATACATAACACACGTATATATAGGAGAGAGATATATTAGAACAATGAAAAGAGAACAGAAGGAGGAAGAAGGAGAACCATCGAAGCGTGCCATCAATATCGGCACAATAACTTTCTTAATGTTCTACTATTTTTGATACGAGATTCCAAATACTACATAGTATAGTCCTTTGTTTGATATCAGAGACTGCCTCTAGTGAAGTAAAGTAACGAAATAATAGTTTCGACGTTTCTAAATCCGTAAGATCGTTTGAGATTCTACAGAGAAAGATTTAAGGTTTCCTATCATTAGATCTGTGACAGCTCACAGTTCTAAGAATTGGTTCTTTTTTGAGAATGCGGTCCGATAACCAGTTCTTTTCATATGGACTCAGCGCACTGATAATGATAATGTGACAATTCTATTCAATACTTGTTCCACTTGTTAAAAAAGGAACTGATTACTAGTTACCATTCTTTTCAAAAGAATTGGATGAGTGATATCAGTTCAGTTTTTCGATCACGAACTGTCATAGGTCTACTTCAGATCTACAGTATCTGTCAGCTAATTCCAGATGAATTGCCAAGCCTTGAGCTCTCATAGGGTCTAACAATGGAGGCGTTTGTGTTGTTTCTTAAGAAGGCTAGACATATTCCGGGCTAATTAAAGCGCTGGCTACCAAACTAACAAATTTAAAATATTTTAGCTACCATTGGCGTGCACGGACCGAGATATTCAAATTTTAAAGTATTTACAGTCTCTGTCAGATGTCCACAATCAAAAATTTTAGCAGAGCTTTTTCTTCTTTCTTCTTGATTGTTAGATAGAATTCGTTGAGTTGCGTTAGAAAATATATGTTTCACGTTTTAAAAAAGAGATTTTAAAAAATCTTATCGGACAAAAACTTCAACTTACCATTAGTTCTAAATATAAGGGGAAATAGAGTCAAATTCTGACCGGCGTAAACTTATTTTGAAATCCTTTTTTTTTAAATATGAAACATATTTTCTAACACAACTTGATGAGCTCTGTCCAACAATCAAAAAGAAAAAAGAAAAAGTTCTACATAGACTGTAAATACCTTAAAATTTGAATATCTCGGTCCGTGCATGCCAATGGCAGCTACTCTTTTAAATTTGGTAGTTTGGCAGTGAGCGCTTTAATTTGACCCGAATATGTTTAGTCTTCTTAACAAACAGCACAAACACTTCCATTGTTAGTAACTTTCTAGTCATTCTTGCACAACTTGTGGGTACCCATTAGTCATATATTTATAGGTTCTTTGTCTTTGGTCCAAGCAAATCAAAGAAAAAGAAAGTAACGAATAGCGGTAGGTAATCTATTCCTTATGAGATATCCTAGATGAGATTATAAAACAGCGGAATCGTATATCCCCATATTTTCTAAGCAGTTTAACATGCATGATATAAATTCAAGAGTAGAAACTGAAAGGTAAGTTTCTGGAAAATTTAAATGCAGATATTCGGACTAAGAAAAAGAATCGAATACAACCTTTATTGAATTTCAATGAATGTTGTTGGTAAAAATTCAATTCGAATTTCACAGTGACATTTCATAAGCATTGACACAGTGTGCTCTACCTTCAGGTATTCTCACAGTATCTCTAATTGAATTTCAGAACAAGATTTGTGTCATTGTAGATAAAATAATATTATGCCTGGTGCCAAATTTGCATTAAGTAGATCCTAAATGAAAAAGGATCATCATGAGGAATTCCACGCAAAGATAGACGCGGTTAGGCGTGAGTGGCGCCCAAGAGGAGCGCCGACGAACGACTAGCCGTTCAGGAGGAATTTTAATATGACACCGATTATCTGAACGATCGCGAACTTAACAGTAAATTGAATCATTCACTACGAAGTCTTATGTTTGGACTTTTTCATGGATAGTTCCTCTATTGTAAATGCAATAACTTTTTTGCAGGCAGTCCAATACGAATCAGCTAGATTATAAATGGTAGAAAATGATCAACTGTGGACGTAGATCTAGATATTAGAGCGACTAGCCGTGAGTGGCGCCCCGAATGGGGTGTATGACGAACAACTAGTCGTTGATCTGAAAGATTCAACGGAAGTAGGGTTCAGGCAGCAGTAAAATTCACAGAAAAATTGTCAACTCGTCAAGTCCAGTCAGTTGAAACAGTGTTCGAAATTGGCGAAAACCCGTAATTTTTTCCCTAAATCAGTTTTGTAAAACAATTCCACAAATAAAATATCAAATTGACTAGAAGCTCCATCTAAACTGCATTCTATGTGGAAATTAAGAGTCTGCCTCCATCAAGTCACAATTTCTTTTATCATTCATAAAGCTTTTGTAAGTATAAGTATCAGGCATCCTTTCTTATTTGGAATTTAGGAGTGTTTTTCGAGTATTCAGAGTTTCTTTCATATTTTTTTATCAGTTTTTTTGAAATATATTCGGAGAATAAGAAAAATAAATTTGTAGACTCATATGTATGCCTGTTTCTCAAATGCTTTTCAAGGCTCTCATTCGTGATAAACATCAACACGATGAATCAAAGATATTTTGAGAGACGATGGTATATAAAACGAAATAAATAAATATAAATTGTCGACATTTCTAACATCTCAATATCAATAGAAATCGAACTTCCTGATTTCATAGAGAAAATTTTGAGCACGGACAATATATTCTATGTAGTAATGTCTTATATGAAGAGGAATCACTTAAAATGGATTTTTCTTTCAGCCGAATGCGAACATTTCATTACTCAATAGACCTTCAATCGTATTATGTCACACAGATACAAATCTACTTGATTTGCTTCTCAGACGGGTACCGATGAAATACTGATCATAGTAATCGACTTTCAGTAGAGAGATCAGCGACGTTTGCGTTGCGTTACTTGTTTACATAATCTGCTGATACATTTTTTTACTTTAACAACTTTGATTTTCGAACGGACAATCTTTCGTTTCTGCTTTAAGCATATTCGATGTAGACATATTATGTGTTGTTAACTTAATTTTATTTATCTTCAATGATTTGTAAATTCATATATTGTTATTATTAGTGAAAAATAAAAAGATGCGTAAAAAGCTGATCGTCACATTTGACATGTTTTAAGTGTAAAAATAAATTGATTCTTATCAAAAAAACAAAATTTGGGGCCGGATATTAGTGTTATTGCTTTTATCTCAGAGTAATTTTTGTATAGATTCTGATGTGCAACTAGAAACGAGTATCAGTATAATTTAATACTAAATAAATTTTTACATGTTATGATTTTATGATAACCATTGGAAACTCGGAAACTTGAACAAGAATTACATAATTCAGCACTAAAAAGATGATGTCGGTTCATTTTCCGTAAAATTATAACATATAAAAAATAAAAAAAGATTTTTATTTGACTTAATATAAAAAACAAAAGATCTCTCCAACTGATTTAAAATACAAAACAAAATTCAAAAAAACTTCGCTTTATTTATATTTCAATATTCTCACGATTCTTTTTCAAACAAACGTTTAAGCACAAATAAGCAAAGAAATATTCATAGTTTGATTTTATTATAGCCATATGAAAAGTATATCATCATCTCTTGTGTTAAGAACTTCCGTTCGAAAAGAACGAGTATTTGAATTCTGCAGATCACGCAATTTTTTATCATAAAGTTTAGCACGTCCTAATATACCATTAATCATGAGAAAACTTAATTTCAAAAGACCGTTGATAAGTATATGTGATACTTCAACGAATTCACGAGCACTACCATGTAGTTCTATAATTTGCAAATTAGGTAGTTGCTCGACAATTAAATACGCAGTATTTAACAAATTTAATTGTTGCCAAACAGTAAAAACATTCAGTTGTCGTAACCCATTTGACATGAGCATATTACACAAAGAACTATCGTTAAGGAGATCGATTAAAGTTTCTTGTTTCAAATAGGCTTTAGGATCATATTCTGCTCTATAATGCAGTTCTAGAGTACGTAAATTCGTCGCTTGCGAAAAGAGAAGATGAAGATGATTTCGATTGAATGGTTCAGTAATACTAAGCGATGTAACTTGATGCCAACGAACGATAGGTGGTGAAAAAGAAAGAAATTCTTCGTTCATTCGATCATAATCTTCACTCATAATAATCTTATTGCAGCGAGACCATTGATTGGTGAAGATACATCTATTATCTGACAATGGAGTTCGTCTAAATTCAAAAAAAAATGTTTGTAACAAAAAAAAAAAACTGTCTATTTATACCCATGCACAGTATTATGTAGATAGGAATAGACACATAACCGTTTATCCATTCTTGGTACTGTTAAAGCTCTAATAGAATACATGTTTTCTTCTAAAGATAGGTCTAATTCAATTGGCGCTGGTCCTTTGAGCTGTTGAAATGTATCGAATAAAATTTTGCTTGTTTCTGATAATGACACTACAGTTCCAACAGACCATATAACATCAAACGAATGTAAACATTGACGGGAAAGCATGGATTGTAAATTGTGAAGAACATGGGGACCAGCCACCCACGCCAATAAGTTGAATTTCATTAATGAAAATAAAACATCACGTTCAAATAATTCATTAACCGATGCCGGATTCATCATAGAATCAAACCATTTTATTTTTAGTTGACATAGATTTGGAGCCAGATGTTTATTAATGGGAGTGACTCGACTAAAATGGATTAATAAGACCATATTGCAACAATAAAATGCATTACTTATATTATTTGAATTCTTAATGAAACGCAGTTTTCTTCCATTTATCTACTCCAGATCGTACGTCAGTGTTAATGGCGTAACCAGAAAATGATGGGTGTTTGGGCGCCATCCTAACCATTTTTAAAAGGTTATTTATGAGAATTCTTCCTCTTTCCTGACCTCAAATATTCATTTTTTGACTTTTTTTTCTGTTCTATATGCGTCTAAGTATCCTGTATCTATTAAAAACGTTTTAAGAATTCAAATTTAGCTTTAAAATTAACAGTCGAAAAGATAGAACGTTTTATATGTGAAAACAGCTAAATCTTTTTCGTTCTGCCGAGTTTCCTCAAAAACTAGGTATTACATAAAAGCCTGCAGAATCACCCTCATTCCATAGACATAGTACATCTAGTCAAGTTGAAGCCTTTTTTACAGGTACTAGAAATACTTTGGAGTGACTACTTTTTTTACTTTAAAATTATTGTATCGCCGATTTTTGGCAGATCTTAGAAAATAAGATCTGTTCAAAAAAAAACAAGCATCTATAGTGTACTCTTCATATTTTGGCATTTTCATTAGAATAGAAGAAAATAATGAGAAACCAAAAAAAAATAAGCACTCCAATATGTCTGTAGTATCTGCAAAACAAGTTGCAGCTCAACCGAATGTATCATGGCTGAGAAAGCGAGCCAATAAGAAGGACCATTTTTATCCCTTGCGATCTTAGTATTTCATACAAAACTATCCGAGAATTTTCGCACTATAACAACTTTTACTCTACTCATTGAATTCTATCTGTTCTGAAAATTTGCAAATTTTCTGATGAATCGTTCTCCAAAATTGTCGAAAAATGGCTAGAAGAATCTCTTCAAGGTGAGAGTAGTGATCCTTTTCAGGAATACTTGATCTCTGAAGGAATAAAAAGGGTTTCTGTACTTGTTGATGAAAATGTTGATAGAGATTGAGATTCAGAAGCTTCATCTATTGAACAATAAGCTGTTTCATCTTATTCTATTGTTTGCGAGAATTCACCAATGGTCGAAGTAGAAGTATCAACTTTCTTTTTCGGGAGGAATATGCGCCGGAAAATGACTCTATAGTATTGCATATGTACAGTTTATTATCGGGTTGCATTTATCAAGAACTGTCTTTCTCTTACGAGAATCACGAAAATATTTGTGTATATTACTTGTAAAATGCATACATAAGAAAATAACTCATTGGTGAAATGATAATCTATCAATCATTATTGTCACTAAAGACGTCTCTCTAATTCGAGAGATAAGTTATGATTAACAATGTATCCAATCGGTTTAGTCTAAATTGAAGAAGAAAAAGGAGGGAGTCCAGTAAATGTCTCGTGATTTTTTGCTTTTATCGTTCTAACAACAACAATCATCTATTTAAATTGCCGGTGGTTGGGCGCCGTTCAGCCATGCTCTATCCTGGTTACGCCACTAGTCAGTATTCTTTCTATATATTTATTATGTTCATTTAAAAATCTAATACATAACTCAATTGTAGTTCATCAACCATTTAAAATCTCCTCACTATTATTAATAATTGACTGTAAAAGTGAAAACGAATTATTCAAAAACTTTGTTATTATTTTATAAATAATTCAGTTTTAACTATAATTTCTTGTAATAAAATGATTCTATACCTTTTTGTTCTATCGTACGCTTCACATTGAGTTCATAAGTTAAAATATAGATTCAATTAAAGAAAGAACTTACTTGTGATCACTATATCTTAGTGGATGTTTTTCAGGTAGCCAAGGAGTAGTCTGTGAATAGCTGAGTTGTTCCAATTGTGGAAGATGTTCAAATAAATGTGACAGAAAGCTTGGTGAGCAACAAAGTGCAAGTGATTGTAAATTTAAAAGACTGATTTGAACAAACATAAAAGTTCTGCCAGGTGGTAGAACGAGTTGACTGTCTAGAGTAGAATGTATGTATGGCCAGAAAAACAGATGACATACACGTAATGACGGAAATAAGTGGAAAATTCGTTCATAATATACACCTTCAGGCACACCTTTAAACGTATAAGCAGCACGATCTTCAGTTGAAAAGCGTAGACTAAACATGATGAGAGAATTAATAGGTGACAATGAGTTAAGAATCAATTGAAAAGAAGAACGTTTAATATCAATTAAAGATAAACGATGGAGATTGATAAATGTAGATAGATGTTCAGCTAACCATAAACCATTATCAATAGCTAATGTATCTGAGACACATAATGAAATAAGACGACTGGAAATGTTTGATTGTGATAAATGTGTATAATAAAATTCGGTCACTGTTATACTCATTCCGTTCAAACCCAAGTAAACGGGAATAAGTGATATTAGATCATCCATGATAGAAGCAAATCGTGAATTAAGATTAGAAAAAATATTAAATACTTCATGAAGTTGGAAATAAATAAATATTTCATGGAATAATTCGACAGAAAGATGCTCTATTGTTGTTACCATAGTTTGTTTTAATCTCATCATATTGAATATTGTACATCATTCTTATACAATGACTTGATGAACAATAATACAAAGCATTATTGTTCTTCCTTCCAATAGTCAACGTAAGAAGATGATATAATTATTGCTATTCGTCAACTTCACAGGTCATCGTGTATACAGTTTGTATTGTCTTTTCTTTCAATTATTTTTGTTAATAGCATGTTTATTATAAAAAATGATAATAACAGTTTTCCGATAGTCATGAATTATTCTTTTTGCTTTGCTTATCTGAAACTCATTTTTGTTTAATATCAGATATGTTTAAATATTTTCAGAAAAAAAGCTGCATAAGAATTATTAATAATAATTAAAACATCAATTTCTTTTTCACCATCATATGTCATCATTTGACTTCCAATGATCATTTTTTTTAATAGCTGAGCTGCTGAACAATATAAGACATGAAAATTCTATTAGTCTTCTATAAACTTTGAACGTCACTTAAATAGATTTTTGGTCAAAAGAAAATTAATAATTCTTTTTTTTATTCTTCAAAAACTAATATTTTTCATAGGATAGAAAATAATAAAAAAGTTGTATCTTTCATTCGTATATGATATGAGATGACAAATGTTGCAAATTCAATTTCCTTTTCTTTTGATTAAATCATATCTAAATCTGTTTTGATGACATCAAAAGATAGAACATTTTGTGTGAATTTCATTTATTTGCTCTTTTCAAATTTAGTATTTTGTTTTTTTTTAATCCAACATTGAACTCTAAAAATTGTGTGACTAGAACATCAATTGCTCAAAATCAAAAACAGATAATGTCGAACTTCAATTTTAAATAGAACTAAATTAAATTTCAAATAGTAAAAAATGCTATTTTTTTGTTAATGTACTTTTTCAAATGGTAACTAATCTTTCAAATAAGATATGTATCACAGTTTATTATTTCAATAAAAGATACATACATTACTGATTTATCTTTACTCTGTTACTAATAAATGTTATCATCTAATTAATGATGCATATTACATTTTTTAGATTTGATTGTGTTTTGTTTTTGTCTGATTCAAAAAATGATCTCATCATTTTCTTGATTAAATATTAAAATATTTGATTGTACAATTTATTTTTACGGAGAAAAATTAAACATTAAAATTTTAAAGACGACAAGAATGTTTTAAAGAAAACTTATTAATCATCTGCTTTATCCTTGACTTTAGTATTCTTAAATAATTATGTTAAATTCTTTCTTCTTGCCTTCTTTCATAATTATTTTACATCGTTCGAGAATATTTTATTTATTTATTCTTTGAAATATTTTGTTTTTTCATACAATTCAAAATACTAATAGAGATTAATCGTATTATATTATTCAATAGGGTAGCAAGTTTTTCGATCACCAAAAAGTTGAGTTTTGATCACCAAAAATGTCTAACTGCGAAATGATCACCAAAAAATGAGTGTCTTGATCACCAAATTTTTTAGCTGCGAAATGATCACCAAACAATTAGTATTTTGATCATCAAATTTATTATCAATGAAAACAAGAATAACAAATAGCAAAATTATTCATAACTCTATATGAACAAACAATAACTAACAAAAGTATAGACAAAAAAAAATATTTTATGGAAATAGGGCCGTTCGGACTTTTTTCGGACGACCTTTACCTTTTTTTTTTGCCTAATGGTTCACAACGAGTTTGATCAGTAACTTGATACATATTGAAGATAATAGCAAGACCGATTGAGTGCTTGCATGCGTATTTTTTAAGACCTATTGGACAAGTGCACGACATAAGAGGCGAAACTAGATAGCATGATGTTTGCCATGCTACAAAATCTTGAAAAGCTTCCCATTAACATGATTGATACTGCTTCAGCCAAAGCGATGTTGTAAGTGCTGCAGTAGACGATGGAACAATGTAAAATGTGTTAAACCAATGTAAGATATCGCTTCGATTTAGAGTTAATGACCATTGATATGCCTGTAATTCTGTATCAGAAGACATAGTTGTATTAT